CCCCAGACTCCAGGACTGGCACATGTTCTCCCCAACCTCCTCACTGTCCGAACCTGCTGCCAGCTGTCCTGGCCGCTGGCCAGCCATAACATCAACATCGGAAATGTTACGGCTCAAAGTGGGTGTGCAGGGGGGGGACACGACCCCAAGTGGCCGAATCCACAAAACACCAACTTACCCGCGCCAGTTTGCCCAGCAGAGATCTCGTTCGAAGACCGGCAAGTCAGAATAGGTGGTGCAGCCTGTGGCTACCCGATATACATATGTCCTGGCCCGGGCCAAGTAACGGGCGTGGAAGTTGCTGGAAACCCTACAAGCGCTCAGAACGCTTTGGGGGAAGGAGAAGGGAAGAGGTAGCAGTTTAATTTCTCCTCAGTCTTTAGCAATAGCACATATATCGCTTCGTAGTGCCTTCACAGCCCTCTCTAAGTGGTTTACAGTCTGCTTCGCCCCCCACCCCACCCCAACAATCTGGGTCCTCATTTTACCCACCTCGGAAGGACGGGAGGCTGAGTCAACCTGGAGCCTGGTAAGATTCGAACTGCCAAATTGCAGGCAACAAGTTGCAGAATTAGCTGCCCTCTAGCACTGCGCCACCGCGGCTTATTCAGTGTGGTTTTATGGGAAGATCTCCCTTGGGTTATCCGCCCAACCGCAACCCTTGGTGTCATAGAGTTGCCTGGTGCAAATTTATCCAGTGAGCGTCCAGGACCGAGGGTGGACTGGAACCCAAGACTCCTCAAGTCCTTGTCCAACTGGTAAACGTTCTCCTGAGGGATTCAGTTGCCAGCCTGAGCATGTCTTCTGGCTCCTGGTCCACCATAAGATTGACAATGGTCCTTCTTTAATACCTCTGAGCCATGGGGTGGGAGAGCAGCCTGGCTCTTCCTTGCTGTTAGGCCCCCTCCCCCAAAGGCTGGGGAGGGGGCAGGACGTCATTTCTTAGCATTTCTCCTCTCGCAAAGGCTCACGCCTCTGCAGAAGGCAGTGTCCCTGGCTCCACCATTTGGGGCACCAGAAGCAGGGAAACATGAGCCTCTGTATTGATGTGTTTAGCTAGATATATATAAAAATGTTTCTGTGTGCGTGTTTTCCAGCATAACTCTGGAACGCCTTTCAACCAAACTTGGTATAGAGATGACTTACTCTCTGGAAACAAATACTGTAGGGGTAAAGATAAAAGTTCCCCTCGCACATATGTGCTAGTCGTTCCCGACTGTAGGGGGCGGTGCTCATCTCCGTTTCAAAGCCAAAGAGCTAGCGCTCTCCGAAGACGTCTCCGTGGTCATGTGGCTGGCGTGACTCAACGCCGAAGACGCACGGAATGCTGTTCCTTTCCCACCAAAGGTGGTTCCTATTTTTCTACTTGCAATTTTTACGTGCTTTCTAATTGCTAGGTTGGCAGAAGCTGGGACAAGTAATGGGAGCTCACACTGTTACACGGCGGTAGGGATTCGAACCGCCGACCTGCCGACCTTTCTGACTGACAAGCTCAGCGTCTTAGCCACTGAGCCACCGCGTCCCTCACTGGGGGGGTAAGACACCCCTAACACCCCTTGGGGTGTGTGTTCTGTTAGGATACAGCCCCATTGTTCCTTAAAATGGCTTCTAATGTACTGCCTTAAAATGGCTTCTACTGTACTGCCGTAAAATGGCTTCTGCTGTGCAGCCCAGTGGAGTTGCCATGGTAACGGCTTCACAGTACTCCACAAGGGGGCTCCCTCTGCTGCTTTAAAATTGTCTGAAATGGTATATAGCAGGGGTCTCCAACCTTGGCAACTTTAAGACTTGTGGACTTCAACTCCCAGAATTCCTCAGCCAGCGTCGCTGGCTGAGGAATTCTGGGAGTTGAAGTCCACAAGTCTTAAAGTTGCCAAGGTTGGAGACCCCTGCTATATAGGGCGTACTGCTTTAAGCAGGGGGGTTGGACTAGAAGACCTCCAAGGTCCCTTCCAATTCTGTTATTTTAGGGGCTGGGGGGGGAGGAAATACACATAGGCTTGATTTCAGGCCAAGGCACAAATGGGTTAGGCATTGTCAGAAAATTATTTTCCAGTCCAGTCCAGGCTTGGGGGGGGGGGGAGAAAAGGGGAAGCGAATAGGGGGGAACGAGCGCATTCAATGGGAAAACTGGAAAACACGCTGGGTCGGCCTCGAAGTTGGGCAGTCGAACAAAACACAGATTAGGGGACAAAGCAGCTGAGGAGGGGACGACAAGAGCGGGCGAGGGACACCCCCCCCAACCCTTTCTCTATTCTCTGGGCAAAGCAGGGGGCCGAGGGGAGGTCGATCCCACAAGGGGGAGGAAAGCTTTTCAGACGGATCTTTTGTTGGGAAACCTCAAGCCAGAAAAGGGGTGGGGGAAGCAACGTTGGTCGTGACGGTGGAGGCACAGATTTGATTTCATGTCAGGTTCAGAGCAGGGGTGAAACGCTAGTAGAAAAAAAATGCTGCTGGTTTGCAGAACCTGTAGTAAAAAAAATACTAACAAAAGTTTTAAAAAGTTCTGACAATCACACGTCGCACAGCCAAAAACGAGGGGTGGGGGGGGGTCGTTTTTTGCTCCTAGCCTGCTTCCCTTAAGCCTGCTAGGCCAAAAACAGGTGGGGG